ACAGAGCGATAAGTGAGATTTGCGTTTAACTAGTGTAAAGTGAAAGTTTAAAACGTGGTAAAGTGTTATTAAAAAATTTAAGAAACAAAATTTCTAAAATATTATAAATGGATTTATAATTGTAAAAAATTTACTAAAAAAAATTTTAAAAATATGAATAAAAACTTAAACTCGAAAATGTGACAGTGAAGTATAGTGTTCGTTGTGTGCGAATGAAAAAAATTTTTTTTTTTTATATATTTCGTGCTGCTGAATTTAATTGCATAACCTTTCCACAACTATTTATTTATGCGTATGTGTGCTTAAGCCTCCTCTCGTTGGTTTTAAACGCTTTTGGTTCGAATTTTCCTCGTTTATTGATTTTCCTTCAACGATTTATCGTCATCCATCAAGGCCAACATTTTGCGTTAAGGTCCTTTTATTATTAAGGTTATTGTTAGAATGATTTCTATGGCAGTTTTTTTTAGCTTTTTTATTAATACACCACGGCTGATAAAAATCAGAAAGTGAAATATCGAATTCCGAAACAATTCTATATTCAGGTTGTCTTCAATGTTGTTTCTGTGTATTTGTATAGATTTATTTGCATATTGACGCATAAACAGCTACTCTACACAATTTTCACATAACGAAAATCAATATTGAACCACTTAATCTATAAGTAAATTTATTTTAGATTGCCACTGACTCGAACCAAGTAAGTGAGTTAGCAAACTTTTTCATAGAGAATACACAGACACACAAATACTTAGCTGTTCTGTCGTATAGTCGGCTTTAAAGAATAAAACAAAAAATTCTTTCCAACATGTTTGTATGTATTTATGTATGTATGTATGTAGTTAAGTAACTCACACGCAGGCGTAATAAGTCAATATTGTTCGAAAAAATATTTACTAGCGATTCTTTATTAGAACAAACACTTTGAACTTGCTTTCTAATACATAAATATTTGTGCTTGTAATCTCTGGTGTCTTGCTCACAACTTGAACCTACAACAACTTTTGCACTTTAAGCTTCCTTTTGCTAAATTTTTTCAAATATAACCACAATTTGTTATAAATCTTAAACTGTTATTTATTATGCATGTATGTTTGTACATATGTACAGTAACAAAATCATGAATGAAAAAAATACTCTCAGTTCATATATCTTTATGTCTTTGGCAATACGTGGCGTATGAGCAACATTTACTCAATGCAGTGACTTGCAGTAGAAAGAAGCAGCACATGTAAGCACTGTTGACTTCATAAATCAAGCTAAAGCGCGATTATCATAGATTTTAATATTTTTGTTTGACTAATAGACTGTTTATTCGAACTCCATAGGTTCAAAAACTGTCTGCAGGTTACGATTAAGACGGTTATTCAAAGAAATCACAAGCTATAAAATAAAAAAACACGATATTTTAATTGCTAATTTAGAGTAATAAAATAAAATTGAATTTGTCGTTTTGGAAAATTTAATTTTTTGCTAAAAAAAAAAAATAATAATCAGAGAAGAGTTTCAAAACGAGGAAGCAAAAATTCCAAGAATTCTTGAAAATTAAAAAATGTGCTGCCCAAATAAATTTAAGTTGCAGCGAAGTGAAACGCGTTTTTTTAGTTATAGACAGACGGCAACCCTACTAACGTCTTCAACATAAATATTTTTTAAACCTAATTAGTTTGATACTCATATTGCTACAAATTATTTATATCAGAATTTCAATTGAAATCAATTTTTAAACTGGTAGCAACTCTGTGAAAAATATTTAAAAATCTGTAAACTTTCTGCAGCCTACTTACTTGATTTGGACATTGTAGAAACTTATTAATTTTCAATTTTATTAAAATAAAATGTCGAAGCAGGTGGCAACCCTTGTTGCAAAAAAAAATATTTTCTAGTGTAAACTTTTTCAAAATTATTCGTTTTTATAGTATTTTTGAACTACATATGTAATTTATTTTGTCAATTTAATTTAATACAAAATTTAAGCAGGTGGTAACACTAGTCAAACTTTTTTTTTTTTCTTTCCTAAATATCTGCAGTTTTCCTTTTTTCAGAACGTACTAAAATAATTAATTTAATTTAAATGATTTTGTTTAAGAAACTCCAATTTTTTTTAGCCGAGACTATAACAAGCTTTGACAGTTACTATACAGTTAATAAGCCAATGACACTTCTTTTCAAACTTCAATTCTTTGTTGAATACTATTCTTGAAGCAAAAATAACAGATATTCATCTGCTTCTGAACGCAACCGAAATGTTGTAGGCTTTGTTATTGTAACCATTGTCTTAGCTGTCATTATCATTGGCTTGTCGCAAGCAGGTGGAACGTTAACTCCCTTTTGTAAACACAAAACATTAAGCAATATGTTTATGCCGACTACAATACTTAGCCACAACATTGTCCTTCCAACCAGCTGTGTACTTAGTATTAAGTCCAGAAACCATAATGAGGTTATACAAAATGATAAACAATAGGCTATTCGGCTATGAAAGAGAGAAAAAAAATTATTTATTTTCATTTATCTCATTTTTATACCAGTCAAGTGCAATTGTACACTTTTTGTGGCACCAACAGCTGCTACTGTGAAGACATTTCTCTGCAACTGAAACACATTTGCAACAACACGCCCCTTTGGTGGCAATCACTCGCAAACTTGGCCCACTAACAATGGCGATCCAGTTAACTATTCCTATTCAATTGTTTTTTTTTTTTTTACTCTTTGTCGCTAACTTTCCGCGCTTGCTTCATCTATACAAATGCGGGAGTAGCCCGGAGGGGCAGAAGTAGCGATAGCGAAAAAGTGGAACCTTGACATTCATTAGTCTGTTCCGAATACAGCCGCAAGTGATGACAATTACAGTTACAACACCCGTTCTAGGCATGACAGTAGCAGCTAAATACAATAACAACAAAAATAGTTGTTTGTTTGTCAATTTGGCTTTTGCATTCGCCGGCGGCGACAAGCCAACTCAGTTAAATGCAAGAATGATAGAAATAACGGAGATATATGTATACATTTATGTGTTTCTGTGTATGTATGTATGTATGTGTATGTCTTAATTTTTATGGCAGTAACTGCCAGCGACATCTGATAGTGTTAATCTCCAGTGAGCAGAGGCAAAAAAAAAATAAAGTTTTAGTAGAAATCTACTTCGCGCTAACAAAACGCTTGAGTGACGGCAATTCAAGCATATACATACATACGTACGAGTTTATCTGTACACATGTATGTACATATATATCTGTGACAGATACTATTTGTTTAATATATAGTCCAATAAAATCGATAATTGGCATTAAACTTCAACGGCTTGATTTTATTGTGTACAAGTCGTAAAATTATAATGATAATTTTATTATAAGCTGAGCGACGCTCTTGATGATTTACTTACAAGGGTGGCTGGTTGCTATAGTGACTTTTTTAGTATAAACCTTTTCTTGAAAATAACTTTTTGTTTAATATAAATCGATTTCCATAGAACTTTTCTAATATATATCGTAATATTGAGTTAAGCGTTTCTTGCAGTAAAGATCTCTTTTTATAAACCAGCTCATTAATTTTTCATATAGGTATGTGCACCAAAACTAGAAACAGATCGTAAAAATATGCTGAAAAAAAATATGATTTTATCAATCAAAATATGAAAAAACATCGATTTTTTTTTTAATTTCATACTAGATGTGCTCCTTAATAGTTCATGAACCCAGTCTTCTCCTCTAATCAGAGATAGATTGGACAAACAGCACTTGGGTTTGATTTAGAAATACATTTAAAGTTGTTTTAGTGGCATAAATAACACTTCACTGGTCCATTACGATGATCGCATCTTCGTAGTCAAAACGGAGAGCTGAAAATTTTTCTCAATCTTCGATTACTTTTTGAAGCCAATTTTTTATAACTTTCTTCAGTGCTCTTATTGAAGTTATTGGATGAAAATATCTCACAAATGCCATCTCAGTTTTGCAGCTAAATTTAGTGTATGAGATAAAAGAATCATGACATAGGTATATTCTCAAACCAACAACGAAAAACATATAGTAGGAATCTTATAAAATTATTCTGTAACAGAGACCACTATTTGTCGAAACATTTGACAATTTTTATATCCGGAACAGGGCATATTAAGTTTGCCACGAAATTTGTAACTCCCAGAAAAGTCAAAGACCGGTTTGGTCATGCCCGTCTGTTTATACGCAAACTAGCTCCTTAGTTTTTGAGATATCGATCTGAAATTTTGCACACGTCCTTTCCTCTACAAGTAGCTGTTCATTTGGCGGAACCGCCGATATCGGTTCACTATAGCATATAGCTGCCTTACAAACTGAACAATCGGATTCAAATGCTTGTATGGAAAGCTTTTTGATTTGAAGAGATATTATCAAGAAATTTCGTGCAACCTCCTTAGAAATTGTTCAAATCGCATCACTATAGCATTTAGCTGCCATACAAACTGACCGATGAAAATCAAGTTATTGCAAATAATCTTTTATATTTGTGAAGGGTAACCGAAGTTAACGTTACTTCTTGTTTTTTTTTTTATAGATGACTTTTTTGTTAATATATTTAATTTTATTTGAAAATTTCATCTTCCAGTCAACATTTTTATGACTGTCTCCAGACTTCGTTTGATAGCATAAGCGTTCATTATTCGAAAAGGTTGCTTCAAAATCTGCTTAGTTAAAGATATTAAAACAATTTTCTAAAAATAAAGTTCATCACCCAAACCGCAATTTGATATAATACCTACTGCCTGTATAATGTCCTCATTGACGACTATACAATTTATCAGTTACGCACATGCACACATATACGCTTATATGTATTGTATATAGTACATAAGTATATACATATGTGTATGTAAAAGCATATAGAGACGGCAGCATATACCATATGTCTGTATACCGACAGCTATATAAATATAAAATTAACCCACATACATACACACATAGTATACATATATGTATGTACATATTATATTATATGTATGCATATGTATATGTGCACACAAATAAATTTTAAAGCTTTCGTTTATTGCACATTTTGCCGCTTACTTTACTGACATAGTAAAATTTTGCACAATTTGTATGCTCTCACACACAACTACCCACATATCCATGTATATTTGTTTGTAGGTATGTGTATTTATGCGCACTTGAAATCGATATTCTCGATTGCCAAACAAACTGTCATTTCGTTGTGACATTGTGTTGCTGTTGCTGATGGTTGGTGCCGATAGCTGCTGTTCAAACATTCTGTCATAAAATGCAATTGTTGCGACAGGCAACAACAATAGTTGTAATCACAACAAAAAGCGTGTACTAAGTGATTTTGCTTGCCTTTATGAGTTCGCCGCCGCGTTTCTTTGTAAGCTTATTGGTCTTTTTCACAGCTTTCGCCAATTCCTGCTGAGCTTCTGAGCTGTTGTTTCTACAAAAACTGTTACAATTCGATTTGCTTATCGGTAGATTTCAATTTGTATGACTTTTCTCACTAGCCATAGTCGCATTCAGTTTCCCTTTAACAAATTGATTTTAGAATCGCATAGCTTTGAGTTTAAGTCCTGCAAATGCTTTGTATTGTGCCACTGAAAAGCTATTTGCTTTTATTTTGTGATTTTATATACATTCGTACAAGTATATCTATTTTGTGAGCTAAAATATTGTAATTAGTCTTAAAAGAAAAAATACAAGGTTTTAGGGGGCACACCTAGTAGGACAGCATAAATATTATGATTTTTGGGAATTCAAAAAAAACTGCTGCTTCAATTGTTTTAAAGCTTTAGAGATAATATATTTATACAGATTTTAAGAAAACACAGTAACATTATCGAAGAAAAAAATTAAATATTTTTTCAAATTACACGCGATCTTCTAAAGCTCTGTTGCAGTGATTGCGGCCTTCTTCGTGGTTGAAAATCTCACTAGAAGAAATTGTTCGTACAATGACTTACTGTCGGGAAAAAATCGAAAATTGGCGAAATGGCGACGTTTGAAAAAAAAAGTTGAATTTTACCCAAAACTTGATTTTAAAAATGTATTTAAACAAAAAAAACAGTTTAAAAACTTAACTGGTTATGGTGATTGAGCTGATCGGTCCCACTTTAGAAGCCTGTAACTCAAAAACTATTTCAGGTATCGATTTTAAATTTTAGTATGTTTTTTTTTTTAAGGCAAAATATGAAAAAAATTATTTTTTAATTTCACACTAGTTGTGCCCCTTTAAAATAAAATTTAAGCAAAATATTTAAGTTTTTACCCATACCTTGAGTCAACTTAAGCTGTATTTGAATTCCTCACACTTGTAAAATGTTGAAATTATTTTAAACTATTATATAAATTGCGTGTTTATATTTTTTTTTTCAAAAAGTACAATAATTCGTGTTATATTTTCTAAATTTTTTTAACAATAATATCCAGTGTTACTGGATCACACTTTCTTCAGAATCAACCAAATTTTTGAAGAACTGTCTGAGTTACAAAACAAGCAGTTTTCAAAATTTAATTTTGACATTACAAGAATAAAATACTGTCATATTGGTTGTTAATAGTTTGCAATATTTTTAGTAATATTTATGAAAGAAAATATTTCAACTTTTTGTTTCTAAAAAATTTTCAATACATCATGATTTGGTTATATTAAAAAATCGATTTTTTGGGCCTCATCCACGACCACACAAAAGCTAACACCCATAAAAGTTAACTATATCGAAGCTCAAACAGATAATTAAGCAAGTGGCGTATTTACATAATAAATGTGCTATTACGTGTGGAAGTACATTTCAAAACAGAAACGTAATAAATTTAAAATAAATAAGCAAATTCGCAACATTTGTAGGCCAAGCCATAAAATGACGTTTTATTTGTATAAATAAATAAATATGCGCATTTAACACACACGCACACCACACATACATATATGTTAATGTAAATATATCAACGGACATTTATTTAACTGACAGCTATGACAGACCATATACGCCGCATAATACTGGACAGCTAAAAGCTAATATGCTCATGAATGAGCACACACACAAACAAATATGTAGAGATATTGACATTTGAGCGTTTGGCGGACCCGGCGCGGTGCTGCCATTGCACGTACGTATATGCTGTTATGGGTCATACACATATGTATGTTCTTTACATATTTACTAGTCTCATAAACAAATTAGTTGTGGTGTGTCGGATGTGTGGCTCTAAAATGAAATTTGCATTTGACTTCATTAGCTTTGGACCTCATATCGAGCGTCCCCATGCGCTCCCCCTTAAACAGCAATCACCAAGTGTCAACTGGCCGTCGCTGCGCATTGCAGGCAACAACAAAGTGTGTTATCTAAATAGCAGTGATATGACTACAAGCATAAATATTAAAGTTAGTCCACAAACGCCCAATACTGTGGCCTCCCACACCCACACCCCACCCTGTTGGCAACGATAAACTTGCAAAAGTACGTAGTAAGTCAGCAACTTTGGTATACAATGTTTTCAACGCATGCCACCATGACTACGGCTATAAAAGAAAATGCTGTTTTTTCACCTATATGTGGGCATTAATATGTATGTTACATGAAAGCATAATTGAATTACGATTAAACAAAAATATTTAGTACATACCAAGACAATATGTTTAAACCATTTAATAAACCCTTTAAGAATTACAAATGCTGTTAATGTAAAATATCGATAAATCTGAGTAACATTAACATCTTCAAGAAACGCAATACAGTTTTAACAGATACCCTGTATAAAAAATGTATGGTCAGGTTTATAATTATAACTCAGGAATGCTTTCTGGATATCTTCAGAAGCTTCCTTGAAATTTCATTAAAATCGGTTAAACCTTTTAAAATATTGCTATAAAACCTACTACGATTTTTGATAAAGTTTTCACGATAGTAGCCAGAAACCATTTTTAATAGCAATAATTAAAATAAACTGCAAAAATTTGTGTTGAAATAAAAAAAGTCTAATTTCATTTCAAATTCATGCTCAAGTGACTCTTCTTAACAAATACAAATGTTATTTAAGGATTAAATTTAAAGGATTAAAATTAAATAGCTTCGCATTTGCTTTCACCGGCAATAAATTCCTAGAATACTTAATACTATTGCATAGAAATGCCTGCCTCCAGTAGAGATCAAACCAAACTTGCAAATTAATCGCCATTAACCAACGCACACATACACATATTTATACACGCTTACAATAAAAGCAATAAAGCACATTAAAGCAATTAAATCACTGCAAAAAATTAAAGCCTTAATTAATGCAACGCTGAACTTTCGCGCGCCAATTAATGAAATTGTGGCTGAAAAAAAGGTGAAAAAAAATAAAAGAAATTACAAAATCAAAATTACGCTAATAAACGTCAATTGAAAGTGCAATCTACGCGCCACCCGCCAGCGTGAACGCGAACGCGCGACTGATTGCGACAAAATGAATGTGCGAAACGAGGCCCAACGTTGCTCATACGTCACGACGTACGCCGCATACAAAGATTTGCCAACCGCCAATATTTGCCCAATGCCGGAGGAGACTCACGCACAATGTCCTTGTTATGGGCGAAGACAAAGCCTTGATTGTGCCGCAAATGCAAGCGTAGACATTGCAACAACAATCACAACAACAGCAGCAACAAAAACTACAATAACACCAACAGCAAGCAGAGCGACATGCAATGACGGCAAGAATGTCGAATTGACAACGAGGCTACAAGCAAGCATACCAAGTCATAAAAGCGCACCAGCCATTGCGCACACACGCCTGCATACAACACTCGCCTGCAGCCTTCATATGAGACCATCGCTTCAGTTGCCGCTGCCAGTAGCGCCACCGCTGCATTTGAGCGATGAGGATGATGAGGATGTGACGGACGATGATGAAGGGCACTGCAGCCTCCAGCAGCAGCAGCACTGCTACCATCTACAACAGCAACAACAACAGCACAATATCGACCACAGCTGCAACCGCAGCAGCAGCCACAGCTCAGCGTCAGACAGTGATGAAAATGACGTCGGTCTGCAGGCTGTTGCCAGGGCCAACAGCAGCCGCCTGCTAACAGCATTGACCGCCGCTGCGCCGCAATCAACTGTCAGCGCAGGCATTGACACATCCACGCCGTTAGACGATGTAACGCAGGCTTCCAGTTTCGATGATGACTGCTTTGTGCTTCGGACGCCGCCGGCAGCGCAGAATGAGTAAGTTCAATCGATTTGTGTGCGGGTTGGAAATTGAGGGGAGGTTGCATGTCCGCCTATGTGTTCATATGTGAGTGCGTGGCAGAGACAATGACTGAAAACAAATGACACGCTCACATGTCTAAACTCACATGTCGTGGCTGTTAAGTGCCTTCGGTATTGAAAGCCATACATTTGACCGCCGCCAAAATGGTTTTGTATTACCTGCATGTATGCGTGTGTTTCAGCTGGCGTTCATTGTAAACAAAGTCTGGACAATAATGTCTATTATTGTTTGCGGTGTCTGACCTACAACATCGCTGCTTGCAGCTCGTTTGAATAAGTTTTAATTATTTTTTTTTTGTACTGATTAATGCGGCTGCTGTGTGGTTGTGTTTCTTCATGCAGGTGTTTTGGCGTACACTCGTGTCTGCCGCAAGGATTCGCACAAGGTCACAGCCGATTGAGGCTTAAATACAAGCAATGCTATCGCAGTGTTCCGTTGTTGATGTTAAAGTCTTATTTCTCATTGATTTAAGCGATTCTTTTCGAAGATTTTTGATAACAAAAATTGGTATCGATTATTCATTTTTAAGAGATTATTACTTGTGATTAGGATTTGGAGCTACAAAGAAAATAACAGCTTCGAAGCGCTTACACATCCGCTGTACACTCCGAATCCGAAGCCGGAGCAAAAGCCTTTTTCTGTTCTCAATACCTCAAGAGAGTAGTCGCTGGAAAGAGGTCTTCGTTGACCTCTCCCGGGTTGCATGCGAATTAGCAGATCTGTCAAATCGAATCGCTTCAACAATGTGTTTCTTTTCATCTCCAACCTTACCTGTGTCTTCCTTTTATTTCAAAGAAACATCGCTTTCTAAGTTACTGATATCTCTACCCACACATTCTAACAACTTTAGGCGTTTGAAAAAGCTCAGAAATAACTTTACACGTCGTAATGTTTATGAAACAGACTATTACTCGGCTAACTATGTTCGAGCTCTGCTCTCTTGTCATAAAAATTTACATCTTCAAGTGACATCTTCAAATTCACTACCAGAGTTTATCTATGTAGCAGTATAATTTATTTTCAATCACATCTGTATTAAATGTATGCTATTTTATATGACTTATGCCAGTTGCTTGTTCGTTTCGCCACTTTCGCAGTTTTCACGAATGGAAAAAAACTAAAAAACTTGTCATTATTTTTAGCTAAATAAATTACAAATATGAAACTGTCACAGTACAAGCACATAACTGTAATTAACTGTCAAATATGCTTAATATTTCTTAAATTTAGATGCATGTGGCATGGGTATTTTTGAATTCAAAATATTTTCGAACACATTTCGTATGACTTAAAGCATTCATCACACATATGTTTGCACAATGCAATTAAAAGTGTATTCTTAAATAAACAAAATTGCAATAATTGGCTGTAAAAGTTTTTTGAAAACGTTGCAAATTTCATCTAGCCTTGGACTAAGGCCAAAAACAACTGACTCACCTTGATCATGAATTGCCAACAAAATATTCAAATTTATTTTCAAACTAAATGTGAAATTATTAAATTAACTCGTTGCAATTATATGTGGATTTTAATGCTAACAGATATAATATTATCATACTATATCTACTAGCGCTCTCCGAGGCAATAACGTGAAAACCATTAAATGCTCAAATTTAAGCACATAAAATTTAAGGTATTTTTAACAAGCGCCAAATATGCACTGCATGTATGCATATGGCATTGCCGAAAAAAAATGAAATGAATTTAAATAATATAAAATCTATTTGCCACATAAATAAGGCAGGTGAGCGCCATTTGGGGGGCGCGTGGCTTTCGTGCTTCTAAGTGATTTCGTAGCGCTCTTATTTTATGTCTGTGAAGTTCACATAACACAAAAATGTTATAAATTTAAATTTTCTGGTTTTTTATTTGTTTTCAAGCAGCGTCACATCACCAGCAGCGCTGAAAAAGTTTGGCAACTGCAGCTGTTGGTGGCGATTAGCGCAACGCACGGCTGAATTGCCGACAATTTTTGCTGATGACAAGAGTGGATTGTCATTTATTTTATTGCCAGCTTAACAATTTAGAACATTTCCCTTTTCATTGTCTTCTTTTGGCTTTTAAAATTCACAAAATGCCATCCGCATTTGCCAATTGAATAATTGTGTTTTTAGACAAGCGTTTTTGCCTAAGCGAAAAGTTTGTCAGC